TTAGTCATCTCAAAGGGCATTTTCATGACTTGTTTGCTGTTTTGTATCCGTGTATTTTGGAATGCATTATTGTTATATCTTTTTCTATAAGTCTAAAAATTGCGAATCTCTTTTAACTTTTTAGGTGTGCGTTATCTTTGTTTGTAGTGTTTAATGATTCCTAAAAATATTTCTTTGTTTTATTTAATATGTTTCTTTTTACTATTAACCATGTCGGTACTTCATGTTTTAAGATATGCAACTCATAGCTGTTCCTTTATGTGGAAAATAACTGACGATTCTTTGTAGTTGTTTTGTTTGGAAGGAATATAAAAGTCCCAAATGTAAAAAAGGTTAATTTGGTAGAATTATGTCATTTTAGGGAATTGAAAAGGCTCATGAGTCTTAATGTAGACATGAACAATAGTGTAACTTAATGTTGATGTTAGACTGTTTTTGATATTGTTTGATTATATGCCTGAACATCGGATATCAAACTAAAAGCACAACTTTGAGTACAAGAGTTTTCAGAAAGTAATTAGTATCGGATTTTACCATCCCATATGTACAACATGGATGAGTAACCACACATCATCCCATATGTACAACATGGATGAGTAACCACACATCCTGAAAGGTGTAACTTATAGTTGATTTTCATGCATGACTTGTGCCCAATGGAAAGGATAGGGTAAGAGATACTTTAATATAAGGTTAATAAAGTAAGTCATGTGTATATCATTGGTCACCATCATTTTAACTGATAGGGTGCTCCTTAAAATCAATATTTCTCACTTAAATGTAGAAATATAGCAGTAAGGGTTTTATTTATTTATTATTTTTTTTGGAACCGGCAAATTTATTAATAAGAAAAAGAAGGCTCAAATCTAGCAAAAAGTTAGACGAGCATAAGTACAAAACATGGAAATCTCGAAAAGTTCAAATACAAAGAAAAGGATCACTACATCATTGACTTTACCATGTCCGCCACCTTGGTGGATGAGATTCGCTGGCTGTTAAATAATCTATCATTTCTTGCCTTCCAAATACTCCAAGTGTCCCATAGTAGATGGCTAATAAAATTCGCCTATTCTTTAGGTAGTTTCCCCATCCTGCTGCAAAATCAAGAACTTCCACCACGGTGTTAAAGTGAGTTACATCAATTCCACACCACTTGAAAATCCATTCCAACACGATGCGTGCAACCAAAGGGCTTTTAGCCCAGCGGTATCCGGTGTTGCTCTCCCTCCTTGAGATCGAGGCAAGTCTCACTGTGGACATAGGTGAAATACTTTAGGAGTAGTTTAGTATATATTTGTATTTGCCGTTCCAAAAAAAAAAAAACACGATGCGTGCAAAAGAGCATTTAACCAAGATATGGTCTCCACATTCTTCCTCATGATTGCAATACCCACAGACTATGTATTCCAAGTATACCTCCCGTTTTGGAGTACTATTTCAGATCACATTCTGCACATTCTAGCTCTCCAAATAAAGCACAATATTTTGTTTGGAACTTCCTTTGTCCATTCTATTTTTTCCAAGTTAACAAGGGTATTGTGGTCGATTTTCCTCCTTAGTATATGCACCGAGTAGTTCCCATCAGTAGATATATTGCATCTCCAACCTACATTGTTTTCGTTACCTGTATACTCGATGACATCAGAGAGAGGGATTCTGAATTTCATCAATTCCTTTTTTACCCCTACAATGTTCTTCCATAAGCCCGTGATTTACGAATTGGCCAAATAATCCACATGCCTGGAGTGTAGATTATGTGTGCTTGTAATGAATCTAATCCATAAAAGAGACGGAGCAGAACGTAACCATCACCACCACTTGACAAGTAAGGCGATGTTGAGGGCTTTGCTCAATCCCACCCCAATTCCTCTGTCATCCTTTGCAACTGTAATTTTATCCCATGAAACCCAACTAATTTTTGAGGCACCATCCGATTCACTCCAAAGGAAATTTCTTCGAATTTTTTCCATTTGTGCTAGTACCCCATCAGGTGCGACAAATAGTGAAAGAAAATAGGTAGGAAGATTACCAAGTACAACCATGATTAAAGTAAGTCTACGCCCGAACAAAAATGTTTTCGCTTTCAAGGATGTGAGTTTTGACATGAACTTGTCTATGATAGGCTTCCAATTCCTCTTCAAATTCATATTTGCACCCACGGATACCCTTAAGTATGTGAAAAGGAGGCAAGATGGTTCACATCCAAGGGGTCTAGCCAATAAGCTATCTCATTCAATGTCGACCCGACTCCAAAAACTTTGGATTTGCTGAAATTCACCTTGAGACCAGATGAGATGTGGAAGCAGCGCAATATCCTGGCAAGGTTCTTAATGTTCCTTTCCGACCATTCCCCAATGAAGAGTGTCTCATCCGCATACAGTAAGTGCGAAATAGTTGGGACGTTATTAGGAAGTTGCACCCCTTTAAGGATGCCTTTGTTACATGCAGTCTTTAGTGTCACACTGAGTCCTTCCATGACAATGAGAATGAGAATGGTGATAGAGGATCCCCATGCCCGACGCCTCTTTCCATTGGAAATTCTTTTGTTGGAACTCCATTGATGAGAACGGAAGCCCTATCCGAATTCATGCAACCTTTAATCCACATCCTCCGTTTGTCCCCAAATCCCATTTGATTTAGATTTGAGTCTAAGTAATTCCAGTTCACTGAATCGAATGCTTTGTCGAAATCGACTTTGAATAGCAATACCTTATTTTTAGCATTTTTCGCCCATGAGCATACTACGTTCACAATTATAGGGCCATCCAAGATATACATACCTTCAATATACGCGGATTGTACTTCGTCAATACAATCTCCCATAACCCTTTTGAGACGAGAGGCAAGGATTTTGGAGATAATTTTATACAAACATCCAATCAAGCTGATCAGGCAAAAGTCACTGAAGCTTAACATATCTTTTATTTTAGGGATGAGAGATATAAATGAGGAACTGCACGCACGGTCCGGTCTGCCAAATCGTTCAAAATACTTAACAAAGAGAGCTATGTCGCCAAAAAGAATGTCCCAGTAAGATTCAATAAACTTGAAGGTGAACCCGTCGGGGCCCGGGGACTTTTCCTTTCCGCAATCCCACATGGCTTCCTTGATTTCATCCAATGAGATAGATTCTTCCAAGTAGATCTTGTCCGCCTCCGATATGCGTGAGAACAAGGGATTGCAGAATTTTGGATGGGAGGGCCACTTTTCATTAAACTTGTTGCTGAAGAACCGAAATGCTTCTTCTTTAATCTGATGTGGAATAGTATTCCAACTACCGTCAATCATCATTCCGTTTATGCTATTCTTCATGTTCTTATTTTTAACATAGCCATGAAAGAAACTTGTGTTTCGTCATGGCCCAACGAATCCTTGATTTCTGTTTTAAATCAAGACTAATCATTTTCTCAAGCTCGATTATTTTTTTGATGCCATCCCTCCTTTTCCGCTCTCTTAGGTTCAAAGAGCATCATTGTTTCAACAATACTATCCAAAGAATGCACCTTATTTTTGAGCATTTTTAGATCCTCCACTTCTTTAGGGTTCTTTGTCGCCCTCCATTCTCTGAGTTTATTTTTTTAAGTGTTTGAATTTGGCAGCCAATATGCAATCAGTAGTGCCATATCCTTGGAAGTGCAGCCACGCATTAGAAACTACATTTGCAAAACCTTTCCTGCCCATCCAAGAGTTGAAAAATCGAAATGAGGGGGGTGTCCGAGTTCAACCGATACCGTCGAAAGTAACACGAAACAATGATCTGAAGTCTCCCTCAAAAGAGCAGTGACAATGACATTTGGGTAAGTCAGTAGGAATTCACAACATACCAAAAATCTGTCAAGTTTACTTAGTTTCAAATCATCATGGTAGAAATATATGAACCGATGACCTCCCCTTCTAAGATCGATCAAACCTCCCTCATGAATAAATCTGTTGAAGCCCATTACAGTGCGTGTGCAAAAAATGGAATTGAATCTTTTATCCTATCTCAGAACCACATTAAAGTCCCCAATTAGTATCCATATACCGCCTCTGATCTCTTTGAGCCTCAATAGGTCTTCCCATAATTTCTCTTTGTTAGGAATGGCCTGGGGGGGGGGGGGGGCATAGATGTTAGTTAAAATGACGGGTGTGTCAATTCCATCCTAATTGTGTATATTGATTAGGAAATTTCGAGATTTAATAACTTCCAATAAGGTGAAAACAAGAGGGTCCCAGATGTTAAGACCCCCCCCCCCTAATCTGCCAGTTGTATGAACGATGCCTGCCTTGAATTGATTTGTGCCCAAACAACTTTCCATATTAATGTTATCCGAATGTGTCAATTAAGTCTCCTGAATACCAATGAAGATACTTTATGTGTTCTTACAAGTCTAAGAACCAACAACACCTTGTGAACTTCTCCAATCCCACAAATGTTTAGGGTTAGAAAATTCATTGGATAACATTGTTCTCTTTGCTTTCACCCTTGGTTTCTACAAAAATGGGATCATCAAATGAGATTTCAAACCCAATTTCCTTCCCAATTTTGACTCTCTTCTCGCTTTCATTAAGATCACCACTATCTGATTCTTCCATTTCTAATATTTGATTTGAAGGGGCAGGTACATGGTTTAATTCTATTGCGACTGGGTGTGGATTCACTGTAATGGGATGGGTAATGTTCAATGAGTTTGAGGGGAAAAAATTGCTTGAAATGGTACCATTAGCTCTAGGCGTCGTTAGCAATGGAGATTGGGTTCTTCTTCTTTTACGCGAAGCCTTTTCTTTGAGTGTATTAGGTCTGGATATATTTAACTTGTGAATAGGAACTGTACTGGGCCATTGGATGTGAATGGGCCTAACCAACCAGGTGGGACCTTTTCTAATGTTACTTTTATGGGCTCAAGACATGAACCGACATTGTGTTCGTCAGCCAAGTGGGTCCCAGTAGTGTAAGTTTCATGTATTGCCCCCAACATTACTAGTTCAGCCACATTAATTACTGGAGTTAACTCCTTATATTATATTCTGATTCCAAGATTGTTACCGTTGTTTGAAATTCCATCATCGGGTTTTGACACCACTTCCGTTGGAGTCTCCGGTGGAGTTTCAACCTCTTTGGCCACGATTTCCCCTTCTTCCACTTCATTAGCTTCTAATGGTGATATTCCTTGATCATTGTTTACGACTGAATTTTCCTTTCCTTGCACCACATCCGATCTTGTTTCAACATCGGAGACATAAGGTTGCTCTCGACATAAAAATAAAATATGTTTCCAAATTCCACAATCCCGATCATCACAAATTTGCCCCCGATTTCCACTGGTATTTCCTCATTGATATTTTCTTTGTGACTAATGATGATACCAAGTTTGATGCACGAGAGATCAACACAGTTTTTGATATCATCAAATGGAAAAATAATTTTTCCAAACTTGAGAATGATTTTCTTGGAATTAGATTCACACAAGAACTTGAGTGGTAACCCAACAATCTTTACCCATGCGAGCCTCTCGAAGTTGACACATGATGAGTTACCTTCCGAGAGCCAGTTGAACATTTTCTTCCAAACTTCTTCATCTCTTAAGAAATCTTGAGGAGATTCAGCCCTATCGAATCTCAAGGGTATCCTTAGTCCTCCGATATATTTTACTTCAACTGGTTTATCACAGTGGATAGATAACAAAGCTGACATGTGGGTAAGATGTTGAATAGACCTTGCCTCACCTGACAGGGCCCTATACTTCATCCATAAGTCCATTGATTTGTCAACTTGCAGGTGTACATGACGTGGCAGTACTTTAAGGGAGGGTGGTGGTACCAATTTGTGGCCAGTGACTTCGACAAAGGATCTCCCATCTCTAAGACCGCCCCCGACGTACCTGTTAGGATTTGAAGTGATAGGGATTAATTTACTTGCCTAGAGTGGTTTGTTAGGGGGATCTTTCCTTTCATAGCTCTCGATATTCACCTTCAAGGGATTGTTCCCGCACATCATCTCATTTAGGGGTCGTTTGATAAGTCTTCTAACTGGATCCAAATGTGGACCGGGTCCAAAAATTTTGATTTGGCAAGTTTGATTTCGATTTTAAACTCATGGACTCGGTCCATGATATTCATCTGATTTGACCCCTTCTCAAAATTTGAAGGACCGGGACAACTCTAGAGAAAAGGGGAGATTACCCATATTGCCCTAATCCTCTATACGAATCTTCCCTCCTATCGGCCAACTCTACACTCTACACAACACCATCGTCTTCCTCCCAACCTCCGACCACCCTTCCTCTTCCTCCGACTCACCAAGTTCGTATTTTTTGATTTTGTTGTTCCCGTTTTCCAATTTTGTTGTTCATGTTTTTTTTCCCATTTTGCTATTTTCGTTATCATATCAGGGATGAAATTGGAATACGAAATTAAGAATAACTTCTGCAATAACACATACAATAATCCGTTTCTTATCTTCTTCTTCTTTTTGATGTTGTCTAGAAGTAGATTAATCGTTTCATGAGCTCCAATTTCACCATTAGAGAAGAAGACAATCCAGTGCTCGATACTCCGATATGTACAAAGATTCAGTTTCATACAACATAAAATCGATTATTGCGAAATTGAGTTCAAACATTGAGTTCATATTGCAGAAAATCGAGTTCACAACAACATTGAGTTGATAATGGAAAAAACGAGGCCATACAGATTTTACACAGATTAAACGAATTTGGCAATTGATAATTTATAAACCAAAATGAGTTCAAAAAAGAAAAGAAAGTTACTTGGGGGTTCAAAAAAGAAAAAGAAAAAGAAAGTTACTTGGGATTATTCATGGTTACGAGTCAGCAGGTTCTTTAAATCTTACATGGGGAAGATAAAGGTGTTCCTTTTTATTTTAAGCAAAGCACACACACCTTTAAGTGCTCAAAGTCTTGTAAAATGAAGCTCCAAAGGGCTTCTAGCCCAACGGTATCCGGTGTTGCCCTCCCTCCTTGAGGTTAAGGGTTCAAGTCCCGTCGTGGACATAGGTGGATTTAAGGTGTAGTTTAGGAGTAGGTAGATTTGCCGTTTAAAAAAAATTAAATAGTAATTAATTTAAATATATATATATATATATATATATATATATATATATATATATATATATATAAATTGTTGAATTGTGTGTTGTTTTGTTATTTATGGAAGGGTTTTTGAGAGAATTGTCTTTTTCATTTATGTTTCACCTGAGTCATTAATCTAATGAATTATTATAAAAATATTGTTTGAGGGTAATAGAGTCATTTTACATAGCCAATCAGATTCAAAATCAAACAACAAGTTTCGGTATGAAGTTAACTCAGTTAGAACTTCTAACTCAGTCAACTTCTAACCCAGTCAGCTGTAACTCAGTTAGCAACTATCAAACGACCCCTTCGTTTTCGTTCCAATTCTTTCACATTAGACACAAATCTAATGAACCCGAATTTTTTCCATTACTTCCTATCCCCCGACCCCCCGAAATATACGTCAGATAAAATCCCGAAAGGGGATAAATTATTTCTAAACTCCGTCTTGTTTACGCTGTTGGGTATGTTGGTGACGAAGAAGTTTGTTCCAACGCTGCCAATCTTGATCGCTAGTTTGCTCGCCAGATTCTTCCTTCTTTGGACTTGCAACCATCCGTCTTCTCTTGGGAGCATCTTGGATCTTTAGGGTTATAGCAGTAAGTAACCATCTCACATCTCTTGTTACCACTCATTCATCCGTTGGAAAGTAACTTACACTGCCACAAACAACCATGTTACCACCCATCTCATAAAAAAATCAAACAAATTCCACTTTGGAAATCATCTCCTTTCTCGAAAACTTAAAGGAAAACTAAAAAAAGTACAATAAGATTATTAGTGAAGTATGGATATTCATAAGTGAAACATGTTAAGGAGAAGCGTGTTAATTTGAGATACTACTAGAATAGAAAGGGAACAATTTTTTCGTGTATACGAAAAATGTTAACAATGTGTAGCGTCATGATTATGTGGTTTTGGAAGCTCTTATATAACAAAAGTGTCTTTGTTATAATAAGAAATAAATCACTAATATATGTAATCTAAGAAACCCAAAAATGGTTATAACATGTAAAAATGGTATATTTTAGTCGGAAATATTAAGAGTTAGGATGTTCAATCAAATCAATAGTGACCAATGGTGTATGTTTGTCACTACTTTGTTAACTATATATGTGAATTACCTCAATATGATTATATTATCTAGCCCATAAATATTTAAGAGTTGCAATAAATATGTTACCAACCAAAATAATCAGAATATGCAGGTAGTAACATGAACTTATATTTTTATATAGATGTCACCTAATACAAACATAAGTAATACAACCACCATTTTCCCAATATGTGAAAGTGACAAATTAAATGGTGAAAATTCCATTGAATGACACTAGAACATCATAAATGTTTTAGAATATGAATGTAATCTTTATATCCTTGATGGACCTTATTCATGATGTGGATTTTAATATAATACATTGTGTGTAAAGGTTATTATTTAATTGGTAGATGTAGGACGTCAGGGGCGGAGACACCATAAGGATAGGATTACAGAAAATAGGGTTTCGAGCGGGAGATGGTTTCGCAGATGATTTCATGGTGATGGTGGTTGAATTGATCGGTGGAGACACCATAGGGTTGTGGTAAATAGGGGTTTACAAGTGAATGGTTTCAAAGTGGAGAGCTTGAGCGAGTTTTTTTGGGTAAAGGGCGTTCCTTTGCAAAATGGTCCCTCAAATGAGGCATTGGCATTTCTCTGCAAAAATGGTCCCTTAAACGAGAAAAGACAGATATGCCCTCATTTGAGAGGCACATGAATGGGCTAACAACAACAAAGTAACGGGAGTTAAGTCAAGGGACTTTTTCCACATACAAACATGGTCAAAAGGACTACCGATCCAAAAAAGTTGTTGTTTGGACAAAACCCCGTAAAAAATACATACCACAACGACCATTTTTTGCAGTTTTGTCAACTTCTAATAATAGTTGTGGATTAGCATATATATATATATATATATATATATGTCTTTTTTTAATGTTTTTTAGTCTATTATTAATCTCTGATTTGTCCTAGATGGTAGGTTGTTGTTTCGACCACACCTAAATTTTAATCTCTACGTAGGCAATTAGTAAAATTATGATATTGGTTACTAAACTATAACATCCCAAAAATCACAACAAATTTTAACTTTTCAAAAATAACATAAAAACCATAAATATTTACAAAACCATTATTTCAAAAGTATATTTTGGTAATTAGAGTAACCCAAAATCCAAATAACATAAAACTAAAGGATGTGCACGATCACGCCTTCGCCTTGCCACGGTCCTCCTAAGTACCTGAAACAGTAAGTCAAAGCTTAGTGAGTTCCCCCAAAATACCATGTGACAACCCACAATTTTTTGTTTTGTCCAACCAATCAATCGAGAGCCAGACCCATTTCTGTTACCTTTTAGCATTGTTTAGGGTCTGTTTGAGTGTTCCGAGCATAACACATTCAAGTTTTGGGTTTAGGGATGAGTTATCTTAAGTTCGTAGTGTTGCATTCGGGCCAAACACTCCTTCAAGAGGAGTATACGGCTGTACACATGGGTGTACGGCCGTACACCCATGGTGGCCGTGAACTCACCCCCATATATAAGCTATCCCTTCATTTTTATTCAGTTCTTCAACTTCCAAGTCAAGAACTCGAGTTCTCTCTCAACTATCATCAAGCTTTTTCATCTTGATCTTCATTTAAGTAAGTATTCCTTCCATTGTTTAGTTGATAGATTGCTATATCTAGTAAGGATCTATGATTTCATCCATGAAACATCTTCAAAACTCAAGAACATCAAGAGTGTACGGCCGTACAATCTATCTATAGACGTACACCCTTGTTAAGTCCATAATCTAAGGCTTTAAACACTTGCTAGGTGCTAGTTATCCATTAGAACTATTGAAACCTTGAACCCCTTTGAACCTAGACCCAAAAATGCATCCATCTTGGAGTGTGTACGACTGTACACACCTCAAAACCCTCCAAAATGAAAGCCTTGTTCATCCTTTGGTTGTGCATTTGTCACACTAGCTTCCCCATGGATCAAACACCCTTCCTTATGCATGTTTTCCATGAGTGTACGGCCGTACACTCCATGGCCGTACACCTATTGGCCGTACACTCCATGTTGTGGCCTTATACCCCCTTTGATCAATCACATGTGATTATAACACTTAGTTCAAGTGTTTCCTAGTCCCTAAGGGTGTTTCCTTGCATGTTAGTTGTGTAAAACACTAATTTCATGCCTAGATATGCCATTATATGTCATTTAGGACTCGTTTGTGTCTCGGGAATTCATTCGTGGAACTTCTCATCCTTACGCGAATCTTCAATTGAATCACCCACATAAGGTGAGTTCATGCCCCTATAATCAATCTTTTAAATGCTTTAAATGCTTTGGGGGGGGGGGGGAATACAAATTGAACACAATGATAATTGTGTAAATGTTATTTGTGATAACCATCACGATAAAGGATTTCTTATGCTTTTATAAGTGATCAAATTTTTTCAAACACTCTTTTAAAGTTATGTTACTTTATTGTTTATAAAACACTGTTTTTAAAAGTACAATCATAACTCAGTAGAAAAATGAGTCTTGTATTCAAGTCAGTAGCAGTTCAAGTAAACATACTAGTAAACTATAATAGGTATAGTTTAGGGATTCAGTACATACTTTAAAGAGAAACAGGGAGGAACATACTATAAAGAGAAACAGGGAGGAACATACTAAAACAAGAACAAGATAAGATTAATGTGAGACTACTTCACGACTTAGCAATTTGTTTGTTAAGTCGCGTTTTGTAACCAGAGTCTCCTGGAGGGAGAGCGTTATTAGTATGGTTACAATCATATCACATTTTTGACCTTAATTATACGAATTGGTTTTAAGGTAGTTAGTACTTCAGTAGTCACTTTAAAATACTATTGTATACTTTCATTATTACAAAAGACAAAAAGTACAGTCGAGTCTTAGTACATTCACTTAGAAAGGGGCCTATAATGCTAACTTTATGATTCCTTAGTGCATACATCAGGGATATATATTAATCGGGTCCGACAGACAATATAGTGTGTGCTTTCCGCTTCATTTCCTGTTCCTTGTTTGGTTGTGGGCTTAGAGCAGATGCACCCAGTCTACTATCTATTCGATCTTAGCTATATATATTCTGTATACACCATGTAATCATAAGGAGTACCAGGTATAGGTCAGGTCATAGTATACAAATTCAGTACATCGTTTTCTAGTACAAGAACATACTTTTCAGTTAGAACATTTAGTAGGCTAAACTAGAAACTTATCAGAAAAAGGACCTTTGGTGGTTAATTCTATACTACCTTAGTTTATACATCCGGGTTATACATAATTAATATCCGATAGGCAGTTGGATGTGTGATTCCGCCTTACTTCTTGTTCCTTGTTTGGTTGTGGGCTTAGGGAGGATTCACACAACTAACTATCCGTTCGATATTAGATTATATATAGCCAGTATAAACTAAGTGATTATAGAAGGAACTATTGTGGTTACCATTTTTACAAAAGGAAATAAGGGTTTAATCCATTTTATTAAACCAGTATAACTTAAAGGACCGTTAGTGGTTCATTCTATAATACCTTAGTTTGTACATCAGGGTTATGTATAATTAATATCTGATAGGCAGTTGGATGTGTGTTTTCCACCTTACTTCCTGTTCCTTGTTTGGTTGTGGGCTTAGGGCAGATTTACACAACTAACTACCCGTTCGATATTAGATTATATATAGCCAGTATAAACTAAGTGATTATAGAAGGAACTATTGTGGTTGCCATTTTTACTAAAGAAAATAAGGGTTTTTCTTAAAGAATGTTTTCATCAAATATGAAGGAAATATTACAGTTAACTCCGTGAGTACCAAGTGAATACACCAGGGTTATATAAAACGAAGACCTAACAAACAATGGGATGTGTGACTTCCGCCTCATTTCCTGTTCCTTGTTTGGTTGTGGGCTTAGGGCAGATTCACACAACCGATTGTTTGTTTACTCTGGGTTTTATATAACTTGTATCCATTTAGTACTCATAGAAAGGATTGTAGAGTCATTTTTACTTATCTTTCATCATATCATAAGATATAGAACATTCTGGAGGAATAGGCAAACTTTTCTAAAAGAACTTACAACTTACTTTACATCACTAAAATCTTATGAACTCACCAGCTTAAATGCTGATATACTCTTTCAAAATAACTTGTATTCTCAGGAAACTAGTAGACAGGTACGCGCACTGGGATTCAGAAGATGAAGTATAGTAGCTTCATGTCTTGTTTTGTTATTTACTTTTGGATTCAATCTTTTGTGAATCACTACTTTGTAAACACTTAAATATTAATACAATGGTTGTTTGTTACTATGATTACTATGATACATGTGTTGTGATACTAAACATGACGTCCTCCGCCCCCGAACATTTCCGCCGTTCCGGTTTGGGGGTGTGACATACCAACACACGACATATAAGGAAAAGGTATCGGGTCCCCAACCTCCTGGTTGGATTACCCCTGGCAAACAACCTTTCTTTTGGATTGCCCAATACATAACAGGTACACTAGCTCCTAGTT